AGGATAAAACCTAGGACTTCTGACAGCTAGACCCACATTTCCTATACTATATCATAACCTTTGCTATCAGAGAGCTAATCCACACACTTCCATAGGAAAAAGAGCCTTGTCACTTAAATGGATGATTAATTTTTAAAATTAAAGTATAAACAACAAGATAATTGTTTAACAAAGTAATTTTTATTATTTTCTTTGAATACGGGCCATCATTTGTTGGTTTTAGCCTAGAAATATACGATCTTATAGCATCTCTCTATATAATTTGGGTGTAATAAATACATATATATATTGACATATGTATATAATCTAATATATACTAAAAGTGTGTTTGTATATTTAATTTACATACATAATCTAGACATGGATATACATTTACCTATATTTATAAGTAAGCACATGTAATCTAACATATGCTAAAATGTTTATACATTAATTTATATATACTGTACACAGGTCCATATTTACATACATGTTTGGATGTAAACATACACACACTTTTCATTGTGTACATACGTGTCAGTCCTCTCATAGTACAACATAATGAAACCTGATTTTCTCCTACTAATAACTTTTCTTTTTTTTTTTTTTTTTTTGAGACAGAGTCTCACTTTGTTGCCCAGGCTAGAGTGAGTGCCGTGGCTTCAGCCTAGCTCACAGCAACCTCAAACTCCTGGGCTCAAGCGATCCTACTGCCTCAGCCTCCCGAGTAGCTGGGACTACAGGCATGCACCACCATGCCCGGCTGATTTTTTTTTTTTATATATATATTAGTTGGCCAATTAATTTCTTTCTATTTATAGTAGAGATGGGGTCTCGCTCTTGCTCAGGCTGGTTTCGAACTCCTGACCTCGAGCAATCCACCCGCCTCGGCCTCCCAGAGTGCTAGGATTACAGGCGTGAGCCACCGCACCCGGCCAATAACCTTTCTTAATCAACTACCTCAACCTACTAACACCAAAATAAGCAGAAATTTTTGTCTAGCTTGCAAGATTTTCATTCACAGATAATCTGTATAAAAAATACTCATTCATATGTATGGATATGAGTTTAATGTATTTATAGCATATTTCACTCTTGAAAAAGGGAATGACTGGACCCATAAAACTGAAATGAAAAAAAAGTTTAAAAAATATAAATTAAAGAAAAGAGAATGAAAAATGCAAACTAGATTAAGGGGTTACAAAAAGTAACAACTTCAAATAACTGGATTTATTCCATTGGTTCTATCAAATTAATAAGATAGAACTTCTAATATATCTGTACTGTAGTATGGCATTTAAACCAATTCCTCTGTCAAACTCGACAGTCTGTTATTTAACTAAATTCATAAAATGCTCAAGGAAAAAATTTCTTAAGAAATGCTCAATTATGGCTATATCAAACATCTCTTCCAAAATGCCTTTCAAGACCAAATAATTTTAGTATAACATAATCATTGAACGTCTATTGCTTGAGAAAACAAGAACTAAAGTTGGAGAAAGTAATTAAAGCCAGATCCCAAAAGTCAGTACATCTGAGGCTGTAGACACTCAATCTTCATGTGCTGTGGTTTCCAGTGAAACACTAAAGTGAGGTAATTTTTCATTCTTATTATGTTCAAGACTCTTGCAAAACTAAACTAGGGTAAAAATCTCTTCATTTTTCTCATTAAATGCATTATAAGTTTTCAATATCTTGTACTAAAAAGAGAATCTCCTCTAAGTTACCTTTTATAAGTCATGAGAGATAGTTCCTTATAAATTGTGGATAATAGAAAATCTCAACTTAATCACCTTATTTTACTCCTTTCCCTCTCTTTTGTAAATCCAGATAAGGAATTGTGTAATTGGCTTATATGTCACTTTCTCCTCCCCCTTCTTTGTCTGTTGTTCTCTTTTGAGACTTAATTGGGCTAGAGTAGGCAAGGAGAAAGATTACCACATGCCTGGAAGTATGAACCTTGAAGGAGGTAAAACTTGTTAAAAGCCACAACACACACAAACACATACAGACACACACAAATATACACACACTTCAAAAGCAGGGAGGAGGCCGGCACGGTGGCTCACACCTGTAATCCCAGCACTTCGGGAGGCTGAGGTGGGAGGATTGCTTGAGGCCAGGAGCTTAAGACCAGCCTGAGCAAGATCAAGGCCCTTGTCTCTACAAAAAAAATTAGCCAGGCATGGTCTGGCTGCTAGAGAGGATGAAATAGGAGGATCCCTTGAGCCCAGGAGTTGGAGGCTGCAGTGAGCTATGATGATGCCACTGCACTCTAGACCCAGGCAAAAGAGAAAGGAAAGGAAGAAAGAAAAAAAGCAGGGAGGAGATAAAGAAGGATAATGAAAAAGTTCTTTTCATAAACTTGAATAGAACAGCTGAGATCTCTTGCAACTAATAATTAAATAATTCTGTATTATTTAATTCAGAATTATTTAATTCTGTATATTCATGCTCTTGTATTCCATGCTCCTTTTTTATTTTCTCTTTTAGGTCACTGAAAATAAATACACAGAGATTTTTAAAAGATTAAATTTTTTAAAGATATGCTAATATAGTGTGGCCACATAGTTAGCATGGGTAAATATTTTCATATAAAATCTCAGAGCACCTAAAAGTAGTATAGTATTTAGGCTCCAAAGAGTGAAAAGAAAAATGCCTGGAGCCCACAGAATCAAAAAGAAATGGTAGAAAGTGCTGGTTTCCTGATATTTAGCCTTGGACTTTGGTCAACACTCTCTTACCCCAAGGAAGATTTAAAAAATTAAAAAGTGATGGATATTAAGAAGCTAGATCATCACTATGGTAGGTTTCAATCATTCTGAATGATTTATAGTTATTGGACAAATGTATTAATAATCGATCACTGTATAAGAAATATAACCCAATATTAGAAATGTTAATATTTTAACTTTTACTTTAATAACCTATGGTCTATCACCTTGTCAAAGATCTTTTAAAAGCCTGACTCTATCATATTCATGGATAAAGCATTGTGTAAATGCATGCTTAACACTTAAATTAATTGTGGTAAATAAATCATGCTTTAACTTTAGAGGATTTTTTTGTTCATTTTTTTTCTCCTAGTAAACCTGCTAAATGCATCTAAATATTTTGTAACCCTTTTTGTTACAATCTTGTCCAATATGGAAGTTTCTAGTCTTCTCTTGGATCTTTGGTTTGAAGGAGAGTGTTTGTTCTTTTTAATTCTTTATACTGTAGAATATACTACTAGACAGATTTCTTAGGAACTTGTTAAACATGAGCACCTGTGGTCTGAAATTAGGGGAAATTGATATTGCTTGACACTAATGCTTCTTTTTTTTTTTTTTTTTTTTTTTTTTTGAGTCTCACTCTGTCACCCAGGCTAGAGTGCTGTGGCATGTGGCATCAGCTTAGCTCACAACAACCTCAAACTCCTGGGCTCAGGCAATCCTCCTGCCTCAGCCTCCAAGTAGCTGGGACTACAGGCATGCACCACCATGCCTGGCTAATTTTTTCTATACATAATTTTAGTTGTCCAACTAGTTTCTTTCTATTTTTAGTAGAGATGGGGTCTTGCTCTTGCTCAGGCTGGTCTCGAACTCCTGACCTCAAGTGATCCTCTTGCCTTGGCCTCCCAGAGTTCTAGGATTACAGGTGTGAGCCACCAGGCCTGGCCACTAATGCTTCTTAAAGTAGATTTCTTAATGGTGTTATACTTTTCCCTTAGGTATTATTACATGGTTCAGATACAACGAGATATAACAAAAATAATTTGAAAACATTTTCTCAATAAGCCATGTTGTCAATCAACAATTTAGAAGAATAATTCTATATTTCTACTTTTCATTTCCATAAAACTACTTGAATTAGTTTGCTGAGAAGGTATAAGACTTGGAACCAGTTATTTAAGCCCTAGGGACCTTTAGTTTTCTCAAACCAAAGGGGAGTTGGTTTGAATGTTTCTAAGATTCCTTCAGCTCCAGAAGTCTATAATTCAATGCCAGAGCACTGTTTGACCTGAAATCCTCTACAGCTCTTAGTTTGTATGGTATTTTAAAATTCTATTAGTCATGTTAAAACTTCTTACAAAGTCCATGTCAAATTCATAGGGACAACTTCAAGTTTTCCATCCTCTGTGGACTTAGCAGCTATCACTTGCATTATCTTCTACTTGTGTGATAAATCATTCTATCTCATTAAGAAAGTTTCTTCCTTCTTCCCCTCCCTCCCCTTCCCTCCTTTCTTTTCCAAGTTTAGCCCCAGGTTTTCATAAATGGTTAGGGTTTTAAATTCTTAAGACACATTTATCTGGAGCTTCCAAAGAGTTTCAAGTTCTACATTCCTAGATTATTGGGTCCCCTCCTCATTCAATATGTGTATGGCACATGATTTTGGTTTTATTTTTCTTAACCAGTATATTGAAATGCCTACTGTGATAAAAAAAAAAAATGCTATGCCTTGCTCATAGTATCTACTCTATGACTTCCTGCATGCACATCACTCAAGACCAGGTCTAGGAAATTGACTTTTCTAATGATTTCTTAAAGTATCAATGGAGCACATAATCATTTATCGTATCCAAGTACTTATCTCATGCTTTCCATTCAGATAAAGTATGCTACCAAGTGTGTTTGAGTAACTTAAGTTCCTAATTGTTAAGTACTTAGTATAATTTTTCAAGTTCTGCTAGTTTTCATGACTAGATTATGTGACATTCCTATCTACAGAACACTTTCTTTATATGAGAAGACTTTTACCTCATTACTGTTCATTACTCTCCATGTAAAATGTCCCTATTTATCCTATCAGTCTGAAGGGAGGGAGGAAGTAGACAGGGAAAATGGGAAAACAAATCTCAGTCACTTTAGGCTGTGGAGACCTGACTAAGAGCCCAGAGGTGATCCTGGTTCAACTAAGATCACATACATGTTACATTTCTAATCCATTTCTTTTTTCTACTGTGACCTGAAAAGTTTATTCAATTTGTGCTTAATTTTCAATCTTAATTCTTTAACAAAAGATCTTAATTATCTTACCTGAATTCCAACATCGGTGATTCTATAACACTCAGATAGAGACAGTTCTTTCAACTTTTTATGTCTGGAAAGTGTCATCAAACCCTAAAAATATTTAATATAAAGATAATCTTATGACTATAATTTAGTATGGAAGGTACATTTCCAAAAGCCATATATGAAAACTAACAACATAAAAAAACATTTATGCAAAGGAAAATATTTTTGATTCTGTCTTATATTTCTTTACACTTAACAAAGCATAATATAACTTTGGTTAGGAAATGTCATTAAATTAAATGTTGGAGTTGTCTCAAATGTTTTGCAGAGTTCTAGAACCAGAAAACTCCTTAGGAAGTTATTATCTTGCCATCTATTTTCAGATAAATGTTATCTGAATCAATATAAACAAATCTAACTTACAACTTTATTTTGATGACAATTCATGTGGCTAATGAATATATTTGTCATTAAATTCTTATTTATGCCTAACCTAAACATCTAAAAATCTTTAGTTTATTTTATAATGCTTAATCTCTTGAAGAGAAAGAGAATAGATCTTTATATAAAGACCTAGAGACAGATGATCATTCACTAATAGCCCTTTTCTTTTTCAGGTTAAAAGCTTTGGATGTTTTAATTAATGAAAATTAAATTACTCTTTCGGCCCTTAATTTTTTATGTGTATTTGTGCTATCTCATTTCCCAGTACTTCTCCCTCAAAGTTGCTGGCAGAACACTCAGATAAGTACTAATGAATGTTGCTTATTGATGCCATCTCCTGTTTTGCATTCGTGATCATATTACTTTTATAATTCCAGAAGATATGCTTCTTAAAGTAGGTGGACAAGAGCAGTTTTTCCCATTCTATGATTCCAGAGCTGGCTGGAAGGGAAAATGCCAAAAATGACATGTGGATTTATCCTTTTCATATTTTATTTGCAGGACTGGTTTATGTTTTATTGATCTTAAATATAACATTTGGACCATAATTCAAAATGGGTAATGCAAATATTATATCCTGCTTTTCCCCCCTGGTGCACAGATTAGGCCCTTTCATCTAAAAAAAAAAAAATTCAGATCAAAGAAAAAAGTCTTGATTGCTTGAGTTAAGCCACTGTTTAAACTGAGATTCCTGATTTCATTTGACAGTTCTGTACATCACCACAAAAAGAAATCACTCTGTTCATTCTTTTTGTTTTTTTACTTTTATTTGCATTTATTTTATGCTGAATTTGTTCTCATGTCATAAGTTTTTATTTGTTTTTTTAGTTTCTTCTGAGATATCTTTTTCTTCAGTGCAACCTTATTCTTTTAATTTTATTGTGACTGTGGATTCTTTGCTAGGAACACATTATGTTTTCTAACTCCTTGTTTCCAAACAAAGAATGGCCAAGCCCTGTGGAGTCATTGCATGTGGTCTGGGTTCCAGATGTGGATGCTATTTTATTCATGTTAGAAGAATTGGAAGAGTTTACATATTCCCCCGATAGAGACCAAATTGTTTAAAAAAAATAGTAAGAGATGCAAAGTTTGTCTCTTTGTCCTATACTTTGTCCTATACAGAGTATGCTTTTGTATCCTATAGAAAATGTGTCCTATGAAACTATCTCTGAAGTTTTCACTTAGATTTTACTTTCATGTAGCCAAGTTAGAATTTTTTAAGATGATCTATAAATTAAGTGCATTTGCTAAGTGTGACATTTAACTGCAAATATGCTCTTTACCACTTTATTCAAAATCATTAAAAATTTAAATATTTAAATGAAATGCCATGTCTCATTGTTCATTAAAACATATGGCCTCAAAATAGAATTGATCAACATCATTAGCCATTAAATAAATGCATAATGAGATACCACAACATATCTACTGGGCTAGTTATAATTTAAAAGACAGATAATAAAAAGTATTTGTGAGTATGCAGACAAATTGTAATCCTCCTACACTGATACTGAAAATGTAAAATGGAACAGCCACTTTGGAAAACAGTCTGGCAGTTAGTTCCTCAAAAAATTAAACAGAGAATATCATATGACTCAGCAATTTCACTCCTACACTTACACCCAAGAGAAATGGAAACACGTCCACACAAAAAATTGTACAGGTATATTCTTAGCAGCATGATTCATAATAAAATACATTTATTTATGGCCAAATGATTTTGACAAAGGTGCCCAGAACATACAAATCATATCAACAACAAAAACTAAAAAGATTGTGCACAGCAAAGGAAACAATAAACAAAGTAAAGAGACAACCTGAAGAATGGTAGAAAACATATGCAAACTATTCCTCTGACAAAGGATTGATATGCAGAATATACAAGGAACTCAAACAACTCAATAACAAAAACCCCCCAAATAATTGATTTAAAAGTGCACAAAGGAACTGAATAGACATTTCGCAAAAGAAGACATATAAATGGCCAATAAATATATTTTAAAAATACTCAATATCATCAATCATCAGGGAAATGCAAATCAAAACCACAATGAGATGTCATCTCACTCCAGTTAGAATGGCTATTAACAAAAAGATAAAAAATAACAAATGATGGCAAGGAGAAAAGGGAACTCTTATACACTGCTGGTGGGAATGTAAATTAATGCAGCTATTATGAAAAACAGTATGCACGTTTAACAAAAAACTAAAAAGAGAACTATCAAATGATCCAGCAATCCCACTATTGAGTCTTTACACAAAGAGAAGGAAATCAGTATATTAAAGTCATACCTGCACTCACATGTTTACTGGAGCACTATTCACAATAGCTTAAGATATGGAATCAGCCTAAATGGCCATCAACAGACAAATGGATAAAGAAAATGCAGTACCTATACACAATGGAATACTATTTAGGCACAAAAAAGAATGAATTCCTGTCATTTGCAGCAACAAGGATGACCCTGGAAGACACTGTGTTACGCACAATAAATCAGCAACAGAAAGATAAATATAGCATGTTCTCACTTACATGTGTGAGCTAAGAAAAAAAATTGAACTCATGGAAGTAGAGAGTAGAAATGTAGGTATTAGAAGCTGGAAAGGGTATAGGAGAAAGGAGGATGAGGAGAGATTGGTTAACAACTATAAAATTACAACTCGATAGGAGGAATGAGTTCAGGTGTTCTGCAGCAGTGTAGGGTGAATATGGTTAACTATAATTTATTGTGTATTTTAACAAAGCGAGAAGAGAGGATTTTGAATGTTCACAACACAAAAAAAATAACAAATGTTTGAGGTGATGAATATGCTAATTGCCCTGATTTGATCATTACACATCCTATATATATAGAAATATCACTCTGCGTCCCGTAAATATGTACAGTTATGATGTGTCAACTAAAAATACAAGGAAAAAAAGAAAAAGAAATATGGAAACAATCCAAATGTCTGTCAGCTGATGAAAGGACAAATAAAATGTGTTATATACAAACAATGGAATTTTATTTGGTAATAAAAAGAAGTACTGAGGCATGCTACTGTACAGATGAACCTTGAAAATATTATACTAAGTAAAAGAAGACAGGCCCAAAGGCCACATATTGTATGATTCCAGCTATATGAAAATTCCAGAATAGGCAAATATGTAAAAACAGAAAGTAAATTAGCAGTTGCCTAGCACGGGCTGGAGGGTGGAACAGGCATAGGGAGTGACTGCTAACGGGAAGGGAGTTTTTTTGAGAGTGATGAAAATGTTCTGGAATTAGATTGTAGTGATGGTTATACTACTCCATGAATATACTACAAACCAATGACTTGCATACTTTAAATTGGTCAGTTTTATGGTATGTGAATTACATCTCAATAAAGATGTTTTAAAAAGTGAATTGATTTACATAATAGTTGTATAACTAGAGAAAAATCAGAAAATATTTCTACAGCATCCTTCAGTTCAAGATGAATGTAGAAATTGCCCACTTTTCGAATATTTTTGTTAGCGACCTTCAGACCCTAAAGACCAATCCATTAGCAAAACAGGGAGCAAGAGATGTCATCATGCTCATGTGTTAGACGAGTTTCATAAGGCCTTTCTGCTGTAAGGAAGTAAACACAACTTTGTAACTGACCAGCAACAAATCTAAGAAAGCAGGAGGGGATAAGGCCTCCACTAAAAACTGCCTCATGCTGGTCACAGGAGGCTAGCTTCTCCAAACAAGTGAAATACACTATTTCCAGTCAACAGGATTCATTTTTAATGGTTTTTTTTTACTCAAAAGCTTCTCAGATTAGTGACCTAAAGAACATCAGAGCCAGGTAGGTAAATATTCTATTTGGCACCACAGGGTTCATAAATGCTCCAAATTAGGAGGCATTCTCTGAGATGAGTGTTACAACATGTTAAAGATTTTCTTTATACCTTTAGAAAGTCTTAAATCTCAGGTCTGGAATAAATTCACTCATTCTTAACTCATCACTTGATAAATATTTATTTAGATATATTATATTGATCAGGCTCTGGGATAGAAAACTGGGAGTACAAAGGGCAATAATATGCTGTGTTTGCCGTCAAGGAGCCCATAGTTTGGTGTAGAGACAGACACGTACAACAGATCATTACAACCTGGTGAAAGGTAAATACTGTGTACAGTGGTGGTATCAAAGAAGGATGATGGGGCCAGCTGCTGTGGGCTGGAGACCTCATGGAGGAGAGTCATGAGTAGAGAACACAAGTTGCCAAGAAGACCATGGAGGGAATGACATTCTAGATAGAAGGAACAGAATGTGCAAAGGCATTAAAGTATGAAACAGAATGTAGGGAACTATACAACATGGCATGAACGGATTTATTTATTTATTTATTTATTTGTTTGTTTGTTTGTTTGTTTATTTATTTATTTATTTATTTATTTATTTATTTATTTTTTGGGGGGACAGAGTCTCACTTTGTTGCCCAGGCTAGAGTGAGTGCCGTGGCGTCAGCCTGGCTCACAGCAACCTCAATCTCCGGGGCTCAGCGATCCTACTGCCTCAGCCTCCCGAGTAGCTGAGACTACAGGCATGTGCCACCATGCCCGGCTAATTTTTTGTATATATATTTTTAGTTGGTCAATTAGTTTATTTCTATTTTTGGTAGAGATGGGGTCTCGCTCAGGCTGGTT